CTATATTTTAATTTGTGTGCACATTCTTTTATAATGTATTGAATACAAAGTACACGCAAATTGTAAATATTATTTTTTTATTGAATAACGGATTAATATTTCGGGGACAAAAATGAAAATTATACAAAAATTGAGGCTTTGAGAATTTAGTAATCAATAACATCCGCTGTTTCAACCCATAATTGATTGGATTGGTCTTTAGTTTTATATATTATCATATTTTTATGTGTACAGTATTATTGGCAAAAAGGGTTGATCTGCAACACATTTGACGAAGCAAAAACAACCTTTTGTTAATAAATAGGAAATAATTACAGGTTTTCTATTTTACTTGCAACACCAAAACATAGAAATACCCAAGAATATTCCATAATATAGTAGAACGAACTTTTTAATATATTTTTCTAGCCAAAATTCTCTAAGCCTATTCAAAAAGTAATTCTTTAAAAAATTGTTTTACTTAAAATTTCTTGATAGAAAACATAATTTTATCCCCATGTTTCTTTGCTCTGTATTGTTGTTTCAAAGGATGTTGCTTAATTTTCTTGTATATGATTATAACAGTTTATGAAACTAACACTGTTTAGCCAACACTTTCTCTTGTAACACTTCTTCTGAACACTGAAAATGAGGCCAAAGTCATGTTCTATTTTTTTACTTTTACTAGCTATTTCTACTTTTATGAAAGCATAATAAACGTCCACTAATTTAATTTGAAAGTATAAAAAATTATATTCTTTTGGAAACAATTAGTGTCAATTAATCCATAATATTAAACCAGAAATAATAACTCAAGCCCAAATACATAGAAACCATAAATTTTGGAATTAGCTGAGTCATCTGACACGGGATAGGAAATGTTTAACCGTAAGTTAATATTGACCTGTTTAGATATGTGCATTTTGGGCGAAAGACCTTCAATTGTTCTCTGAACAATCTGTTTTGAATTATTATTTGTTTTCCCGCCACTTCTTGTTCTTGCGTTGTTTGTATGTTCCGCAAGAAGTTGCTTTGGTGTTAAATAATAATATCAAACAGTTATTACGCTTTTAAAACTGACAACGCTGAACCTTGTAAGAGTTATCGACCCGAAAACTGTGTTTCAAGTTATCACATTCCTTCAAAACCGCAAATGAAACCGACAAAATTTGTTTCGAATTTGCTTATTCCATCTTCACCACCTTGAAAATAATTTTCACCGAAGCAATCCAACAACATATTGCTCGTTATATCCCCAGGTTGTCGAGAATAATTTTGATCCCTTTATGTATTCGACGTTTGTGAAATGTAATAGTTACTCATAAAAAATAAGTGATAGAGATCAGGGTCTTTTGGTTCGAAGTCCATGGTCCACCGAAAACAAAACGAGGTCAATGTCAAAGGTCAAGGTCATGTTAATTTTTTTTTTTGGCATTTGCTTGTGCATGCTACTTCTAAGAAACAGTAAGATTTATCGACAACATATTTTCACTAAATTGTTATTTGCACTATGTCGTAAAAGGAAATTGTTTCTTCAAAGGGGTACGGTTACATTTACCATTTCTCTCCTGAAATGCTAAAATTAAGATGTATGGTATTATAACTTATAAACAATATATAGTAGAGACCTAAAGTCTTTGATATGAGGTCCTTGCTTGATGACATAGAACTTGAGGTCTAGGTCAAAAGTAAATTTGACGTTCTAGATTTTCAACTTCATATTGATACATGATAAAGCCATATGGTCGTTTGCATTTGTTAGGAATACACATCACCTTGACACAGTCAGCCGGAAGTGACTTTAAGTAAACTGGAGGTAGCCATGCTTGCATTAATTTAATATAAAAGTATCTAAAGCCATTTATTTTGGAATCAGTGTCAAGTGACCTATCATATAATACCGAAAGTGACATTTTCAACCGGAAGTAGCAAAGTATCTCCCTTATTATAATCAAATAGAAACCATATATTTTTAGAATCAGCTTTAAGTAAACTATCGTCCAGAAATTACATTTTAAACCGGCCTTTAGTATTTTCATATCACTTGAAAGACCTTCAATTGTTCTCCGTACAGATGGTTTTCAATTTGTATTTAGAAATTGAATTGTGTTCAGCTGTGTCTGCCTAGTTCCAGTAGTTTTTTTATCTCATTATGTTGAGTTTTGTCTACCTCTATCCATCCGACTACGTCCATTTTTGTCCGCCTGTATCCCTGTGTGTCTTTGGTTTTTTCTCGAAAAAAGCATTGCTTCCAGTTGTATCCACATGAAGCCACCGGCTTTCTTTAATTTTATATAGAAATAGCATTGTGTCCAGTTGTTTCCGTCTATATTCTCTTGTTTCTTTAGTTTTTATATAGAAATAACGCTCTGTCCACTTGTGTCTACCAGAAGTCCTCGTATCGTTGAAGTTTGCACCGAAAACTGGACATATCTTCCTTATTCATTGTTATTTGTATTTCATAAGGAAAATTATTTGCTGGTATCACGAATCAGTAAACTGGTAGCTCAGGATTGATTGTATAATATAAAGGACAGCAGCATTGATACAAAATTTGCTTTAATTGAGAGTCCCAACATTACCTCTTTTTATTCAAAATATTATAAACAGTAGTTTTGACATCTCAGAATAGTTCGTTTAACAATATGTGTGCATCATCAAACAACATTGTACATAATTGTATTTCATGACGACAATAATATGGCGGCATCTAAAATCAGGAAAACTCATATTGTAAATGTATTCAAATGAAAGCAGTAATAGTGTCCATAACTACCATTTGTCGTCTGGTTTCCAAAGTTGTCCAACCCTCTTCTTTTTCTTTAAGATACTGAACTGGTCGGTAGTCGTGGTATTCCACGACATATTCTTTTACTATTTTTTTCCAAATGAAATGTTGAAGACCTGATGTAACCGAAATAAGAGACAGGTAATGCATTTTTTCTGTCGAAATTGACGCTTCAAACAATTATACAATACTTTATAATTATATATTCGGGCACTATTCAAATTCGTTTGACCATTCCATCGAAAATATAATCATAAATAGAAGGCAAACAAAGCAATTCACTATGCAAAATTCATGTAATGCAAAACATATATTTAGGAGGAGACTGTCAAAATTGGAAAATAAGCTACTTAAATAACTTTTTTTTACTTTCCCGTCATATAAATTGATTAATCCAATGCATTTTATAACTTTGTTATCCGTCTTAGAAAAAAAAAAATATCCTTCATTTATGATACCCGAATGTAGTTATATATATGGATAGGTACGTCTAAACAAGTGACAACTCTACGATAGATCAATCGATTGGATCACCAGTGAAGGTGATACACGGCTGAAAACACATATAATATTCATAATTACTCTAAATATTAACACAACAATGTTAAATCTGCAAATTTTCGGAAGCAAATTTTAGTTTTTCCCTCGCCGGGACTTCGAACTCATGCTATTGGGAAATCGTAGCAACACCGGCTGCACTGTGCCCAGCGCTCTAGACCACTCGGCCACCTAGACTGAACTGGGTTTATATATATATACATGTATATATATATATGTCGATCAACAAATGCGAATCTTTTTTTACTATTATTTTATCCACGAGAATCAATGATATAATAAATCTAAATGTGTATATAAAGAGTCACAATGTAAAGAATTAGGTAGTTTGCTGTTTTGGAACCTAAATCAATACAATTATCGTTTAAAAAGGCTAGGTCTGATATTAGAGTGTAAAACTAAACAATCTATCAAAAATATACTTGTCCTAAGGTCATGTCAGGAGTTGACCTATTCACAGGACCGGTCAAAATAAGACCTGTCAATATGTCTGGTATGGTATGGTATGGGGCATGTTTGTCTATAGGACTGGTTTGAGGCAGACTTGTCAATACCATAATGGTGTTTTTCAATTTCGAGATAGCAAAAACAGCAAATGTCAACTATAAAATAACAGATAGCAAAATAAGGAAATGAACATATTTGCCCGCTTGGTCATACTTTATACAAATACCCAGAACCTTTAGCAGTAAAATCATGTAAGTTCTAGGGATTTGCTCAACAAATTGAAGTAATATTGAAAACTCCAACGATCATAGTTGCTTGTCCATTCAAATATCATGCTAATAACAAAATGTATCCCATGGAAATAGCATTTAATCATTATATTAATCCGGATGTTTAAGGTGCAAAATATAAGTTCATGTTTTGTGTGATCACAAATCGCGGTCAATCATTTTTAATTACTTTCGTTGTAGGAATAACAAACAATTTACGGAAAGTAATTATGAATTTGAATGATGTAGAACTGTTTTTAGGAAATTGTCGGATATTATTAGTGACATAGTGTGTTAGTGACCTAATACGATATATACGGGGTCAGTAACTTCCATATGGTGTGAGAGCGAAGCTCGGACCCCATATGGAATTTACTGACCCCGTATATATCGTATTAGGTCACTAGCACACTATGTAACGAATTTATCTTACCGACTATCTTTATTTGTTGAATTTAGACTAGAGTTGTTTCATTTGCAATCATACCACATCTTCTTATTTTTATGTTTAATTTTAAGAACTTTTTCCATTGGTCTGCACACAAAATATAATGTCAACAATAACAATTTAATATGAACAACCTTGGTATAACAATATTAAACAGAACTTTCAATACATTAAAATAATCAAATAGTGCAAAAGTCGTAACTCCACTACTAACCGTGTATTGAAATAAGCCCCGCCTCCCTACTAAACTAATATGGAAATACACGGTCTCCACGCGGACACTTTTAACCAATCATATTCCTAGAAACGTACAGGAGGTAAGATAAATGTCTGTATACGTCAATGAGACAGCATCCCCGCTAAAGATACTTATAGAAATCTAATCCTAGTTCCCTAACAAAAAAATATTACAGAAAAAAAAAAAAAAAAAGAATAGTTGAATTAAAAAGTGTTTGCTTCGAATGCAACCATCCTGAAGACAATCTGTTTTACGTTTTTGTTTTTGTTTTAGGAATTTCAAGAAACGATCCATATCAAAATTCAAATTTCAACCATGGAACGACAACATTGGTGTTCATTTTGTCTTATCCCTTTTAAAGATGAATTGAGTTTAAGAGCTCATCTTTATATCCATGAAAAACAGCCACCAGTTTCCTGTAGTCTGTGTCCGTTAACATTTGTGCATCATAGTCAATTGGGAAATCATATCAGATATAAGCATTCGGATTATATCATCAACACGTTTGTTGAAAATGCTGAAAGTATTTATAGAAAAAATATAACAGACATTACAACTGAGGTGGAATCTGATTCCGAATGGACAGACAGTTCCGAAGAAGACATTTCGGAGGATACAGATTTTGAAAGTGTGAAAGAGCCCGTTGAAAGCATTTCGAATGAAATAAAATACATCTTAGCACAAAATGTGAATGATGCTTCTGACAATAAAAATCCTATATGCGAATTTGATCCGAAAGGAGTCAATACCAAACATATGAATATTTCAGATGGACATTATGGCAATGTAACGAGTTGTGGTGTTTCATTTCTTGTCAAATTAGAAAGGGAAAAAGCAGGAAGACATTATTTGAATATCACAAGAAACATTCCTAATTCAGAAGATAACTCTCAACGACACATATTACAACAGCACATGAAGTCGGCGTTCTTCAATTCAGATGACAGTGTGTGTACTAACCGACCAAGTTATAATTTCAGTGATGAAAATACAGACCCTGATTTACGGTTTGTAGGAAATTTAGACATTAAGATACAAATTGATTGTTAATTTTATAATACCACTTCATTGCTGCCCTAAACTATGACGTGAACATGTACGGTATATATCATATATGATTAAATGAATATTGTGGTGCCGCTTGAAAGGATCTCTAACTTACTAGTATATATTGTTTTTTTCTATTCTTTATCATTCATCAATGATATACGTTGAACTGTTAAGCATAACTTTAAATCATAGTATTTTACAAAATCATTTTTACATGACTGCTTTTGTGATGATCAGATATAATTTAGCAAAAGAAAGAATTTAAGATAGCATAATGCCTCTCGCTGTCTTCAAATCTTAAATACAGTAAACCCTGTTAAAATATATTTGAATTACGTTATACAAATTTTATATCGTAGTAAATGCACAACAATGTAGGTGTTACTAACAACCAGGATTATATTACAACTGTTGAATAAATTTAACTTACAGATCAATAGTAGAGGTTTCAGCAATTTTGCATCAAAACCATTCTCGTATAGGTTCAATAATTGGGGAAAGCTAACACTAATCAGTTTCTTAGTTTATCTGAATATAATGCAATTTATGACTTAAGGATGTTCGTTACTCTGTTTCAAAATTACAAGCTTTTCAAAATACTGTGATAATTTGATAGTATATAAATAACAGACCTAAAAAAGCAGAAATAAACTAGATTTGTAATTGCTAGCAATAACAGATGGCACCCTCGTCCCCCCATTGCCAGGGTAACAGCAGCCATTAAGAAAATTCCAAAGTCAGACAGCGCATTTACATATGTAATTTAACACTCTTTTAAAATTTCATCAAGTTTGGAGCATTTTGATTTTTTAACAATTTTCTGTTTCCATGGTAACAGTGACCATTTCCAAAATTCTAAAGGCGGGTACCACTTTGGGACATGCCATGTTATATACCAATAAAGTTTCATTGGGTTTAATCTTATATTCTTTAAGAAAATGCAGCTTTAATGTGTTTTCCCATAGGGCCAATGTTAAACTTTCGACCTGTTTTCATGACAACGGCTGCCATTTTGGAATTTCTAAACACTGTCAGTACATCTAGGCATACCAAGTAACATTTCAATAAAGTTTCATTCAGTTGGGTCTTATTATGAAAAATTTAGAATGTTTTTGCATTTTAGCATTTTCCATGGCAACGGTAGCCATCTTGAAAATGCCATACCCCGATGGCAAATCGGCACTTGCTGGTTAACATTGGTGTGTAGTTCCATTACAATTGGTTCATCCAATTCCAAGATATAAGCTAGACAAAAAAAGTGGAAGAAAAAAAAAAATAATAAAAAACTAGATTTGTAATTGCTAGCAATAACGGATGGCACCCTTCCCCTATTACCAGGGTAACGGCAGCAATTTTTGAAATTCCAAGGTCAAAGAGTGCATCTTCACATGCAAATTATCATTTTTGTAAAGTTTCAGTAAGTTTGAAGCATTTAGAAATATTGGACATTATTGCTGTTTCCATGGTTACGGCGGCCATTTTGGAAATTCCAATATCGAACTTCAATTCTACACATGGCAGTTACCATTTATGAAAAGTTTCATAAAGATTGTAAAACTTTCCATTTTTTCGTATTTTTGATGTTTCCATGGCAACGGCATCCATCTTGAACATGCCAACCCCCAAATGCACATCTGCACATGGTGGTTAACAATATTGTATAGTTCCATCTGCGTGGGTCCTTTCAATTCCGAGATCAAGAGTGGACAAAAAAGTGTGGAAGAAAAATAAAAATGACAAGTAATCCTGTGTTAGGATGCTAACACAAAAGTCGCCAAAACGGCCCCAAACCATTGTTCTGCTGTTTCCATGACAACGGCATCCATTTTGAAATTTCAAAGTCGGATAGCACATCTACACATTACAGGTCACCTTACTTACAAGTTTCATAAAAATTGGACCAATTTTCAAATTAAGGCATTCGTGTTTCCATGGTTACGGTGGCCATTTTGGAAATTCCAAAGTCAAATGCCACATCTACATTAGACACTCAACATTTGAGTAAAGTTTCATTAAGTTTGAAGCATTTTGAATTTTTTAACATTTTTGCAGTTTCCATGGTAACGGCAGCCATTTTGAAAAGTCGGATGGCACATCTACACATGACAGGTCAGATTACTGTCAAGTTTGATAAAGATTGGACCAAATCTAGTTTTTTCGCATTTTTGTTGTTTCCATGGCAACGGCGGCCATTTTGGAATTTTTAAAGTCAAATTCTAAATCTACATACACTCGTTAACATCTCTGTGAAATTTCATTAAATTTGAAGCGTTTTAAAAAATTTTAACATTTTTTCAGTTTCCATGGTAACGGCGGCCATTTTAAAAATTCCAAAGTCGAATTACAGCTACATATGGTGCTACCTGTAATAATCTATCATTATATAACATAAAAAGTACATAGGAATAATTCGACACAATCACATGACTAATCACATGACTATTGTTCTAGAATGTTCCATGAAAATTCACCCCCTAAAATAATGCCAAGATGACCCCGGGCTGAAATAAAAAATGTGGAATGAACACCTGGACATCGGTCTCTTGTATTACACAAAACTTAAAGGTTCTACCAGTAGCGAATCAATAGTCGAAAAATGACCCCACCCATGTTCCGGCTCCCAAATAGTGCCAAGTTCACCCCAATTTGAAATAAAAAATAGTGAATAGACCCCTAGGGATACTACCCCAACATCATACCAAATATAAAGTTTCATTTAAATCATTTGAGGCTTGCTAGAAAATGGTCGGACAAATTAGGGTTAAGAATAATAATAATAATAATAATAATAATAATAATAATAATAATAATAAGAAACGGGACAAAAACATAAAGTCCCCAAAACTCCGTTTTGGCGACTTAACTAGATTTGTAATTGCTAGCAATAACGGATGGCACCCTTCCCCTATTGCCAAGGCAACGGCAGCCATTTTTAAAAATTCCAAAGTCAAAGAGTGCATCTTGACATGCCAAATAACATTTTTGTAAAGTTTCTTTAAGTTTGGAGCATTTTCAAATTTTTGACATTTTTGCTGTTTCCATGGTAACGGCGGCCACTTTGGAAATTCCAAAGTGAAATGTCATTTCTGCGTATGCCAGTCATTATTTATGTGAAATTTCAATAAGTTTTGAGCATTTTGTTTTTTTGGATATTTTTGCTGTTTCCATGGTAACGGCGGCCATCTTGAAAGTGCCTACCCCCAATTGCAAATCTTCACATGGTGGTTAACATTATTGTATAGTTCCATCACCTTGGGTCCATTCAATTCCGAGATCCAGAGTGGACAAAAAAGTGTTGAAGAAAAATAATAGTAAAAATAATAATAAAAAAAATAAAAAGAAACGTAGAATAACAATATGTCACCCCAACTCCGTTGAGGGTGCCATAACTAGATTTGCCATTGCAAGCAATAGCGGATGTCACCCTTCCCCCATTGCCACTAGATTGCAGCCAGTTCTAAAATTTTAAACAGTGAATGCACATATATACTGATGGCTATACAACTTTCTTTTATATTTTAGAACATTTATCGGATTTACAAATTTTAAGCATATTTTTTTTCTTTTTTGCCTTGTTTCCATGGTAACGGCAGCCATTTTGGAAATTCCAACGCCAATTGCCGCTTACACACATGACAGTCAACATTATTGTGAAGTTTCATAAAGTTTGAAGCATTCTGAAATTTTTGAAATTTTTGCTCCTGTATCTATGGTAACATAGTAGTTCCAATGATTGTCAAAAGCATTCAAAACCTGTATATAATGGACAACTATATTGTATAAAAATTTGATGATTTTAAGTTAAAGCATACCAAAATTATTCACCAAACCCTTAAGTTTTTGGAGCATTTTGACCTTTTTGATTTGTTTCCATGGTAACAACAGCCATTTTGGAAATTCTTACTCCAAATGCCACATCTTTCAATGTTGCTCATCGTTACTGTGAAGTTTCATTAAGTTTGGAGTATATTGATATTTTTGAAATTTTTGGTGTAGTTTCCATGGCAACATAGTAATTCCAATGATTGCCAAAATCATCCAACGCCAGTATATAGTGGCCACTTACATTGTATTAAAATATAATGATTCTAAGTTTAAGCATATTAAAATAGTTCACTAAAATCAAAAACTGGATTTTTTTCACATTTGTTCCGTTTTCATGGTAACGGCAGCCATTAAACAAATTCCAAAGGTGTCGTGCATAACTAGAGTTGGTGGTCCTCATTGTGGTACCCATTCTATAGAATTGGTCCATTAATCTATGAGAAAACGGGCGGACAAAAAAAGGTGGAATAATAATAATAATAACTAGATTTGCCATTGCAAGCAATAGCGGATGGCACCCTTCCCCCATTGCCAGGCGAGCGGCAGCCATTTAGAAAATTCCAAAGTCAAAGAGGGCATATGCACAGGCAAATTATCATTTTTGTAAAGTTTCATTAAGTTTGGAGCATTTTGAAATTTTGGACATTTTTGCTGTTTCCATGGTTACGGCGGCCATTTTGAAAATTCCAACTGCAAAATGCAACTTTGCCTATGCCAGTTACCATTTCTGTAAAGTTTCATCCAGTTTGCAGCATTTTGATTTTTTTGGAAATTTTGGAAATTTTTGCTGTTTCCATGGTTACAGTGGATAATTCCTAAATTCTAAAAGCAGACATCTCATTGCCACATGTCATGTTATATATCAATACAGTTTCATTGACTTTGGTGAAATACTCTTTAAGAAAATGTTGATTTTATGCATTTTCCCATAGGGTCAATGTTAAACTTGCCCCCAGTTTCCATGACAACGGCGGCCATTTTGGAGTATCCAAATATTATCTTGGCATTTTGGCATACTGGGTAACATTTTCATCAAGTTTCATCTAGTTAGGTCTTATAACCGAAAAGTTAGAATTTTTGATATTTTAGCTGTTTCCATGGTAACGGCAGCCATATTGAAAATTCCAAATTC